AAAATCTTTCTTAAGGTGAACTACGCTGTATTTATGAATACAGCCTATTTTGTTTAGCTTTTCATCCATGACTGACACTTGGGTGGCCCCTCCCCTCATTGGGTTGTAGCAAACAACGTGACTGTGAACTTGAGTGTATCTTCTTGATGACAAGTAGTGCAATCCCTCTCATTTTCCCTCTCAGAGGCATTTTCTGGTCCCACGTAGGGCCTGCTTCTGGTCTTTGTCTCAGAACATCACTGTGGGCAGGTAACATAGGCGGTCACATAGACCTGGAGAAGGAGCTTACGTAGAGACAGATCCATCTGTAATGTGAGGATCCAGATAGAGAGGGGGACTGGGAGCTGAGGGTTAGAGGTGCAGAGGTGGGCACAGCTCAGAGGGTGGGTAGGTGTCCAGCTAAGAGGGCATATTGAAGCATAGGAGCCCAGAGGAGTTTGTAGGTGCAAAGGAGGCAGGGTGGCCCTGCCAGGATGTACCCTATCAGCTGCCCAGGAGGAGGACGTGTGTTTTGATAAGTAGAGAATAGAGACAGAACTTCCTCTGCCAAGGAGCTGGTGATAGCTGAGAGGGGACATGGACAGGGAGGGCCCCAGACTGGGTGGAGACATGGGACTCCACCCTCCTTGGTCCTGGAATTAGTCCCTAGGTAGGAATTCAGTTCCCCCTCCTGCAGTAAACAATAAGTCTCCTGAAATTTATAAACAGGAAAATGACCGAAGTGGTAGATTTTGTACCATGGGGGAGACTCAGAGGAGAGAAGCCAGCCTCGTTCTAGCCTCAGGCTTCTGTCTCCCCCAGGATTCTGCCCATAGCCCCCCTGATGGTGTTCCCATCGGATATTCACATTAGTCTCTACCCTTTGAAACCCCTCAGAAAGCTCCTATCTGACCTGTGGCTGTGTCCCTGCCTACTGTGTCTTTTTCCTGTTAACTGGAGGCAGTGCAGGCCACTGTACCCACTGGCCACTGTATGGTCTCTGCTACTGCCAGGTTAGCCAAGTGACAGATCTCATGGGACTGCCGAGAGGCTCCAATTGGCTTCCCTGGATCAGTTCCTACAGCTGCCTTCACAAACAACATAGACCGGGCAGTTTAAAATGGGCCGTGCGTTTTCTCGGTTGTCCCTGCTGAAATACACTCAGATCCCAGCAAAACAGGCATGGTTTCTCCTGCCTTCCCTTTCTGCCTTCACTTGCAAGTGGTTGCCTCTTCTTTCTCCTCCTCACCACTTAACCCCTGCATGTCCCTGTCCTCATCTCTTCCTCTTTTTCTGTGGTGGGATGGAACCTAGAGCCTCTGGCATACCAAACCTCTACCCTGTCACTGCGTCCCCTCCCCCAGCCCCTTTTCCTGAAAAGGCACCAACCATATTGTCTTAGGAATCACCTAAATGACTTCATTTTCCTTACCTCGTTGAAGGCCCTGTCAGTAAACATTGTCCCATCCTGAACACACATGTCCTAGAGGTACAGTTTCGAGCACAACCCTGGAGTATCAGCATAGCCCTTCATAGAGCACCCCATAGGGATCAGATCTGCAGTGTGAATGTTTCTCGAAGCCCTAGACTTGTTGCTTGCTGGATGGGACTCTTTGGAGGCCTGTGATCTTATCTTCTCTTCTGCCCCAAATCTCATTCCTTGGTGTCCACATTGTAACTGAGCCACTCTTGCTGCTAACTGGGCTTTCGCAGCCCCTGGTTGGCATTCATGCTTCTGTCCCCACCCAAACCTGTGTACCAGCTGCTAATCTGTTTTCACGATAATGCCATGTCTTTCCAAGTCAGAACCTACCCCCCATGCCATTTTCTCACCTCCCTTAGCTCTTCTTTCCTCCCTAGTCCAACAGTCCCATCCCATACCCTGCTGCGCTGGCCAGTGCATAGATCCTTAGCTCTTGGAAGTGCTGAATGTCACCAGGAAGGGGGTCAGTAAGGGGAAATGGCTCTCATCTGAGTGAGATCACATGATTTAACTCTAGCCTAACCACATACCAGCCATCTCAAACCCCAAGTGTGAGTCCATGAAACTATTGATGATGCAATGAAGTTTGGCTTATCTTAAAACATCACTGAATATTTGAAGCCATGCTGGCTTGGGGGTTCTGAATGGTATCTGAATGGTATCGTCATTGTGAGCTGATGGTTTTGACAACTCAGGGTCATGGTGCCTTTTTTGAGTCAGGAGTGGGTTACTCCAGAGCACTTAGGCTTACTGGAAAGCTTTGGGAAGTCCCCGAGACATCTGTGGTTTAGAGACGCTCCCTGAATGATTCCGCGTGGGATGGTTCCTTCTAGGGACGTTCATTCTCTTTATTTCGTTGTCACACCTAGGTGGATGGGGGAGGTATGGCTGCTATTGGCATCTGGCTGGTAGAGGCCGAGATGCTGCTCATCTATAGATCTGGGCTCAGTCCTGATGCCCCACGTGTGGAAAGTCTGGCTTGGGCTGATAGTAGGGGACATGGGTGTTTTCTAACCACACCCAGCTGATGTCCCTGCTGTGGCAAGTCAGCTCTATGACCTGGGCTCCTCTGCTGTGCAGTGAGAACCTAGGTAGGAAAGAGGGATCACACTGTCCAGGGTGGCCCATCTCCTCCAGCTCCTCAGTCGTAATAAAGTTTAGCCATGCTTACAGCCGGCGGCATACACAGCCTTTACATGTTTCTGCGCAAGTGGATGCTACGAATGGCCAAGACTCTCCTTTTAGATCCAGGGCCTTATGCATGCTAGGTGCACACTACTGAGTTCTATTTCCAGCCCCTCTTTTTTTCTTTCTACTTTTTTTTTAAAAAAATAATTTTTTGAAATCATTATTAGATCATTCCTTCCTTTTCCTTCCCTTTCTCTAACTTTTCCCATTCACCCCCCCACGTGTTCTTTCTCAAATTCATGACATCTTTTTAATTGCTACATACACACACACACACACGTGCACACACACACACACACACACAGAGACACATACACATTCCTAAATAATAAATACAGCCAGTTCAGTCAGTATAATGTTAATTGTATATATATGATTTCAGGTCTGACTATTGGTATTGAGGCCTCATTAACTTTCCTCTTTTTATAGTTAGCATGCCTTGTTCATATCCTGCCTAAGTAGCCATGTTGATGAGATTTCATAGGTGTAGTGGCTCTGGCACTAGGAGATACATTCTTACAGCAAATATCTTGTTCCTCTGCCTCGTCAATCTTTCTGTCCCCTCTTTTGCAATGACCCCTGAGCCTTAGGCACAGAAGTTGTATTATATGTATGAGTTAGGATTTGGCATCATGATTTCTTGTTCTCTGCATTTTGATTGGTTGTAGTTTTCTGTAATGGTCTTCATCTGTTGCAAAGATGTGTTTCTTTGATGAGGGGTAAGGACCACACTTATCAGTGGGTGTGATAATATATATTTAGAATGTAGTTAGGGACCACTCCCAGTCCCTCTTGAAAGTTAGAGCCTTAGACTTCTCCTTAGAGTAAGGGTTACCAGAAAAGGAAACATTTATTTGGAAATAAATGGTATTTGTGTGAAAAATGTCTCTAATTCAGACATACCTTCTTCATAATTAGTTCCTAGGGAGGTGCTTTCCTGATATTTCAGGTATCAGGAAAAGAGAACTCTCCCAGGGGATCCAGAGGTGGAACACTGGAGGCTAGGCCCATTCATTAGCATTGGTGGCGTTTGCTCAGCAGTAGACAGGGGTCCACTTCCTTCCTTGGTGCCAGGCAGTAAGCCTCAGTGGCCCTAGCATAATACCTTTACCTGGGCTGAGGATGGACAGCCACACACTTGTCACCTCTTCAGGGAAGTATGTTGTCAAGAATGGAGCCAGTAAATAAGGACTAAAGCCTCACACACTAGCCAGCTTTATTCAGAGCATCAGACAGTTTGTACTTTGAGTGTTAAGAGAAATCACACAATAAAAATGTTCAGTCACAAGGGCAAGCAGCATGTGACAGACAAGCTGCATGTGACAGCAACATGTTTTTCCATAGAGGCATATAAATAAACATAACAAAAGCCTGTTGTAATGAATAATTTGGCGTAAACTCATTCCTATCTGCTGTACCTGGGAGGAGCACAAACACATATTCCAAGAACAATTGCATACTTAGAAGACACTGAGGTCATAAGACCCTTGTCTTGTTTTCTTGGAGTTTTCTCACAAGCACTCAGAATTCTCCTCTCACACCTCCATTATGGACCATGTCCTGACAGTATGCCAAGACTGATGTCTCATGACTCCTGTACCCACCATCAAGGACCCCAGGCCAAGCTCCCCAGCAGGATCTTCCCCTGTTCCCCCCACCCCCACAGTAGCTCTCTGCACGCTCTGCCTACTCCACTTCTGACCTTCTGAGTGGGTATTGATTGTATCCTTTTCTGAGTGTGACTGGCATTCTTGGTGTTGCTAGTGACGCCAGTCAGTGGCTTTACTACTACTACAGTGAGCCGTGATGTGGGACACCGGTCTGTCTGATCCTTAGAAGCTGCTATCAGCTGCCAGAAGGCTTCCTCACCTAGGTGGGCCCAGTGAAAGCAGATGATATGCAAAAAGGCATGTGCTTTTTATAGGGGTCCATCTACGGTTTGGTGGTCTCTGTAGTTCAACTGCATGGTGAGCCCTCACCCTGTGCTTCAGGATAGATAGTTTTTGTATAATTACTACTTCATTTTCATAGAAGATTTATTTTTAATAGTTTTCTGGAAAATCCAGTAGTAAGACTCTTGCCTATATAATTGATTTCTCACTTGCCTCCTTATTCCATTAATAACCCTCAAAGTTCATTTTAGTCAGAACCTTAAATAAGTGGTCAAAGAAAGGGGTAATGAAGAAGGCAGGACTCCAATTCTGCTGATGAGTCTCGTTATCAAAAGTAATTTTGGAGAAAGCCAAAATGAATCACACTTAACAGGTAAAGGTGTGTCAGCCAACCTTCCATTAGGGAAACAAAATACCTGAGCTAATCATTGTAAGAAGAAAGGTGTGTTTTGACTTACTGTTTTGGAGGCGTCCTTCCTCAGTCAGCTGCTCCTTAGTTTCTGGGCCTCAGTAAGGCAGCATGTTGTGATGGAGTGTGTGGTAGAGGTAGACATTCTCCTCATGCGGCTTGAAAGCAGGATCAGAAGAAGAGAAAGAGCTGGGGCTCTTATATCCCCATCAGGACCCATCTCCTAGTGGGTGCATTATCTCCCTGCAGCACTACAGGCAGAGACCAGGTCTGTAACACTGGTCTTTGAGGGACTTGGTTCCAAACTAAGGCAGAGGTCACCAGAGACCTTAAAGTCTCATAGCTTATCATACTGAACAAGGCTTTAAAGTCCCCGAAGGCATTTTCCCCTTAACTGCAGTGAGGTGATAGTCTAGGGCAATCTTTCTTTCCTGATCCCTTTGAACTTATTTAGCAAACACAATAGCTAACTCTCACAACTGAAAATACACGAGGTTTTGAAAGACCCCGCAAGAAGATCCAGAAGCAGTTACAAACACACATAACACCGTGGTAGGAGATGCTGGTGACAGAAGGGAGACCAGTGCCTAGGAAACTGGGATTCCTATGGATAGAGCTGGGGCAGCTGGAAGCCTGTCTGGGTGGAGGGACGCTTGGAGCAAACAGATAGCACTGGGGTTGTTAGTGTAGCTCAGGGAGTTTTCCTTCCCGCATCCAGCCAGTTTTCTCCTTCAGTAATCACTGCTGACAATTCATTTCAGCCGCTGCTTCCGTGTGCCTCTTCCAGAAGGTTCTATACATGAGGTCATTTAGCATGGTCTTGGTATTAGCATCACTGTTGAGAATGGTCTCATTTCACTATATACTTTATTAACTGTTCCTTTTTGCTGTTGAATGGTATGGTCATCCCTCGGTGTTTGCTGCGCATCATTTCTAGGACTCCTGAACACAACAGAGTCAAAAGATGCTTGAGGTCCTTCTATAAAATGGCAGTGTACACTTCAAATCATATCTAGATTAGTTACAATGTCTCATATAAAATAAACACAGTGTCAGCAGTTATTAAACTGTATTGCTCAGAAAACAATGACAGGATGAAAGCTCATATTTGGTGGAAAGGCACGTTTTAAAAAGGTTTTAGATAACTTCTGTTGCGATGTATTGATATAGTTCTATTTTATTCTGAATTGTTATTAGTGTCTTACTATACCAAACTGACAAATTAAACTTTACCTTAGGCGTGCCTATGTAGAAAATGTCCAAATAAAGCTTAGTCCTATTTGCTGTTTCAGTCTCACACTGGAGGCCCTGAAACACATCCTTCTCAGCTAAGGGGCACTGCTGAATAGGAGAAATGCTTTGCAAGTCCTCCGGGCTGGGAAGGAGCAGTGGACATAGCAGACTTTGGGTAGGAGATCCTTTATTCTCCACCTTTCTTATCCCTCTGCATAAACAATACATCTTTTGCAAAATGAATTCTCCTCTAGACACATGCACACACAAGTGCATATGTACATATGCATGCACGTGTGCATGTGAAAACACATACACATACACACAGTTTCTTAGTCCTGTGGCCCCCGTTACTTGTTGAAAGTTCATTTATTTTGCCTTTAACTGCACTCATTAGCGATGCATAATAATAGGTATTATTTGACATTGTCATTCACATATAGAATATATTTTGATCGTTTTCACCCTCTGCGACCATATTTTGTCTCCTCCTATCCCTGCTGCTCCCATTCCTCTTCCCAACACCACACCCCCCCCCCATTCCCTTGTCCCCTTTCTATTTCTATGCTGTTTTTGGTTTTGATGAGTTTTATTAGGATTGTTTACATGAACGTGGGCCAGGGGTTGTTTACAGTAGTGAGGGCAAGGTACACTACTGCAGAAAACATCTCTTCTCTCCTCTGGCAATTGTTAGCTACCTACAGCTCCTCAGACAGTGGTAGGCTCTGTGAACCCCCCTCCCCTCCATAAAGGAATGACACCCACTCTTTTGTCGTGAGTTCATGAGTGTAGGAGCTATTGTTAATCCCAGATTTCAGAGCTCCAGATCACTCCACTCCTTCCTCTGGCTTTTGTGTTCTTTCTGTACCCTCTTCTATGGCATTCCCTGAGTCTTAGAGGGAATGATGGTTAGAACAGTCACTTATTCTCAGGACTTTGACTAGTTATGAATCACTGCAGTAGTTGCTACTCACTGCAAAATGAAGCGTCTCCTACCAACACTGACAGTAGCATTAACCTACAGGCCCAAACATAAATATTTAGCAGGTATGTTCTGCCTGGCAGGTTGATATTGTCGCTCACAGCATTCACAGCTGAGTAAAAGTATTCATGGTTTTTCTACCTTGTAGCACATGTAGCACATCCTGACACTATGAAAACTGGTTAACAGGGAGGGCGCTTCCAGCTCAGGTCCAGTTTGATTTCTCTATGTCCTGGAACTAAAGTCTGTGGTGGTTTCAACAGTACGGACCTCCCTACCAACAGCTCATAGAAAGGCGTGTGGCTATTTTCACGTAGGTTATCATAGGCTTGATAACCTATGGCTGCTGCAAATGGTATTATCCATCCACGCAGGATACCTCCGTTCAAACACGATTTTATTTTATTTTTTGAAATTAGTGGGTAGAGCAGGTTTTCCTTATAGAGCTTTCAAATATCGAGGTTTGGTTGACTCTCCCCTTCTCCCCGACTCCGTGTCCCCACTTCCAGCCCTACTCAAACCTTTCTGTGGCCAACGTTCCCGCCGTCACTTTCATACCACATTTGCTCTGTACCCTCCTGCCCTTAGAGCCCCTATCGCCCCTCTCACCGGCCCCTTTCTGGTTTCCTGGGAGTCCGTGTTCTTTTGTTTGTTTTGTTTTACTATTGCTGACCCGAGAGTATGGCATGCTGATGAAGGCTTGCCTGCCCCACTGCACGTGCCTTCCCTACTGTGCATTCCTCCCCACCTGCTTATGTGCACTTGGTTGTCCCGGACCCCAGATTTCTGTGAATCCCGCAATGCCCATCATGCTCGTCTTTGCCACGCCTCGTGTCTCTTATTCCTCCCATTCTTCGTTTCTAATAGGTACAAGTTGATTGGCAGAATCAGGCCAGCTATGTAACACCTTGACTTCTTTATGAGCCAGGCAAACTTCCTTCTTTGTCTCTTCTTTCCAGAGGACGCTGAAGTGATGAGAAGGGGCTCTGGGGAAGGGGGATATCACCTCCAAGAGGTGTGAGTCCTTGGCCCTGACAGTTGTGATCCCACTTATTCCAGGCCTCACCCCCCCCCACCCCTCCATCAGGACTGATGGAGAGGCTGTGAGAACTGATGGTGTCTGGTCGGTGGGGGAGAAGTCACATCTAGAAGTGACGTTGCCAGGCAGCTGTTCTGTGTAACCTCAGGGTGACTCAGCTGATTGGACTGATTTATCCTATGTTGGTGGCATGTGAGAGTGGCATCCCTCTTCACCATAACTTTTTCATCCTACCTTCTGTGAAAATGACCAAGTGAGGGCAAGCACGTGGGGCCTGGAAAGCAGATGCCACACTTAATTCATATGCAGTGCAGTCCAGTAAAAAATGCAAAGGGCTAGAGGGAGAATTAGTCTCCCTAGTTTGTAGGTGAGCAAGGACAAGCCTTCCTTGGTGAACCTGCTCTGCAGAAACCTGCTTGTTCCCTCTACTAAGCTCAAGAGGGATGGACGAAGTACTCCCCAGGCATGAGCTGGTGAGAGAAACCAGCTGCCCTTCCAGTTCACCTCCCATCCAGTGGGAGCAGGTGAGCATCCCATTTGGCTGGAATATCCAAGAAGCTAGCCTGTTCTGCAGGCTGTTCACGCTGCTCTGGTTTGTGAGCCAGTCCTAGTGCTGTCAGGAAGCTTGTCCGTGCTTGTGGAAGCACAGCACCCTGACTGGGGCCGTGCTTCTTACAAAGCAGGTTAAGCAACTGATGATGCTCTTCCAATAAGATAGCCATTTAGAGGTGGCACCCCCAAATATTCTGAGTAAATGATGCTCTCAGCCTAGTGACTGTGAAGTGATTGTGCCCAAGAGGAAAGGCAGATGACAGGTGACCTACTGCAAGGTCTGCCTTGCTCAGGTTCAAGGTGACAAAGGAGCAGCCCTGCTGGCAGCATTGGAAGTGAAGGTATTTGGAGCATCAGGGGCCAAGAATTTGGTCCTCGTCCAAAAGGCTGGAATCTTGATTGGGATATTTCTAACAATAGCAGCATCTATCAGAGGATCAAACTAAGATGGTTTATTTTGTCTTCTTTTTGTGATGTGAATTATGCCCCAGGTCTTGAGCCTGCTGAACACAGGCGGGGACTTGAGTTGCGGACAGCCTCACTTCTAGGCTGCAGTGATTAGAGGAGCCTTTGCTGACACAGCAGAGAGAAAGGCAGGTGTGTGCTCGCTGATGCCTTGGGCAGAGGTAGACAAGGGCCCTGAGCCCAGTGCAGAAGGACCAAGTTCACACCTGGGCTACCAACCTCTCACTGAGCAGCCACAGCAAATAGCTTGGGATTGGGGCATGCTCTCCAAAGTGGAGAAGACTTGGACTATTAGGCTTTGTGGATATTTCCGCAGGGACGTATGTGGAAGAGGCACCCTCAGCAGAGCGTGTGCTGGCCTCTAACCCCAGTCCTTTCTATAAGGACTTCACAGTGGGCCTCTTAATATAGTCATATAGTCACTGAGTCACCTGCTTCTGGTTGAGAATCCATAATTCAAAAATACAAAGTCCATAAATTTAAATACAAAATACTCTAAGACCTGAGACTCTTGGTATGGCAATATGATGCTATAAGTAGAAAATTTAGTTGTCACTAAATTTGTTTCATACATAAAATTCTGAAAATATTATCTAACATTACCTCCAGCCCTTGCATTCAAGGTGTATATAAGACATAAGTAAATTTTGTGTTTAGCATTGAGTCTTCATTTATTTCATTTCTTCCAGTATCCTCTTTAATATCTCATTTCAAAATCTGAAAAAAAAATCACAAACTTGAAGAACCTCTGGTCCCAAGAATTTCAGTTGAGGAAACCCATTCTGAATAATAACTTACATAGTTGTTCCAGTTTCCCTTAACTTTAAAAATGTTTATTTTTAATTATGTGTATTTTTATGAGTATATTGCGATGTATGCATGTAAAGTTAGGGGAGCTTGGAGGTCAGAAGAGGGCACTGGATCCCTTGGGTCTGGAGTGTTTAGGCAGTTGGAAGTTGCATGTCATGGGTGCTGGAGCCTCCTTTAGGTTCTCTACAAGAGAAGCAAGTGCTCTTA